ATATTCAAGTATTTTTAGTCTCAATCTAATTTGCCACAGAAGGCAAATTACTTGATTCCAACCAAACACACTTTCCAGCGATAGACGGCCTATAAACACTTGTAATAAACAGAAGCAAGCAAGCTTCTCTCTTACCAAAAAAGATTGTTTACGCCTTGTACAAGTTGCAAGAATTAACCTTCCTAAGACATAAGAATCATGAATTTATTTATTTAAATCAGTTTAGCACTTTAGAGGGAAGAATTGACATTTCTGATCACCAGTAACTGCAGAGAAACCCTGCCCCTCAGACAGCACTACCCACACACAGCTATCCCAAAGCACCTCACCTCACCCTGACTGCTCACTCTTTGCTCAAAGACCACAGTTATTATCGAAGTCTAATAAACAATAACCTATTTGGTAGCGCTGTGCTGTCTTGCATAAACTGACAAATTCATTACTTATTCTAGCATCTGAGTCAAAGCTCCAGTGAGTGAAAGCCTGGGTAAGGAGCCGCATAACACAAGCACAGTGAAAATGAATTCTCAGCAGGAAAGGTACATATTTCAACAGTTTACTCAAGCCTCATTTAGGAACATCTATGTGAGGTCACAACAAAATTAGGCTTATGAAGGCATTACACAGTCATGATGACCTACACAACCTATGAGATTAGGAAGTACGCATTAAAAGGACAGTCACTGTACAGCTGTAATCACCAAAAAAAAAGAAGAAAAAGACTAGGCAGAGAAGAGGCTTCTAATAACATATATATAATTATTATTTGTTTAGAAGCTAAAAGCAAGCTTTGGTGATATACAGTCACAAATTAATCATGTTTATGTTAAATGATTCACCATTTGATCAAATGTTTAATTTTAGTAGACAAAACTGAGAAAAGTGCCAGATTGGCATGGCAGGGACCTGATGATACATAAGTGCCTGGAAAATCCAGACTCAGAAATAAACTCTGGATTGGGCCTGCACAGAATGCTTGGGGCACAATGTCTCATCACACATATGATGCACACAGTGTCAGAGAAAGGCAGAACAAATGGTAACATCCTGCAAAACCCCTGCTGGCATATTCTCAAATAGTACTGCCATCAGTTTTAGGTAACTACAATACTTTATAGTTGCCAGAAATAAAACGAAATGAAACTAATCATACTGTGTTTTCAATCAACTTCCAGCTGGCTGCCACCATTTCAAGAATCGAATTCATTTGTTTTACATCCATTAACATATTTCCTTCTTTACTGGTTCTGAGAGACTCATTTCAGTGGTAAGGGGTATCAGTCTGGACCATAAGAAAAATAAGCAGCAGTCACTACAGTACACATAGAATTGTAAAAGTATTACCCTCTCTGAACCATATACTCCTTCACAGTATATGGTTCTACCAGCCAAGGAGCATTCTAGCTTACAAGTCCCATATACACATATAACTGTTTAATAGTAAAAGCCTCGGCCCTTTGATGAGCTATATACAAGCAAAAACTTTGTGGAGTCCTTTAAAAGCCAGAGAGGAATTGCCAACGTGTAGTTCATTAAAGGATTATGCCTCATCTCTAATAAGCAAAATGGCTTAACTGGAATATATACATATAGTAACATCTTCATGTATTTATTAGCTTAGAGTTGAAGATTTTATATATGCTATAAAGTGAAACAGGTTTCTGAAATCTACTAGTCTAAGAAAAAAACCCAACATTACATGGTCTGTTAATCAGGAAAAGAAGAAAGAATTTTTCCAGACCACAAGAATGAGAAGTTAAGCGCAGCATAAACTCTAGATAAAGTAACCTAAAATAACTCACATACTGCACCCTTTCCAATCCTTGTACACTAACACTACTCCAATAAAAAGCAAAATAGCTGCAATTGACTAAAGATACAAAAATAGGAAGGGTAGCAAAATATTTCCAAACAGTAACTTGTGTGAATATAAAAATATAAAGATCATTTCAGTGCTCCATTCAAACTTTACTTGAGCAGAAATGACAGACTGGATATTCTAAAAAGAAGGGCAAGTCTGCACAAGATTTAAGGATGGATTCCATGATCTTCAACAAAAGGTAAGCAAACATTTACTGGTGACCTTAGACAGATGCTTCAGAAGTTCTGAGAAGTCTCACTCACACCTCTCCTTTCAGCTGTTACTTTTTCAGTCTCTTAGATCTCAAAACATCAAGAGTTTAGTAGTTTTCTAGTCACTAGAGATTCTTAAAACCTACAGGATCTGAATTTCTGATACAAAGCAGGCATTTTAAAAGAACCCCTCCAACTTTAATGCAACTAGTCTTCTCCTGTAATCTCTTTGTATGCCACCACTATGCTCATGCATCTCAGGAGCTACTTCTATCGCTGTTCACAAACAGGCAAGTTTTAGCCCAGAAACCCCATGACTTACTTCAGTTTTAATACTTCTTTCTGTATTTTCCTTACTGATTCGTATCTTTGTGGATTACTGCAGAAGTAAGAATCCTATTGCACACAGTCCTGGCTAAGTATTATATCAAAAAAAAAAAAAAATCATCCTTAATAATTGGAAAAATCTAAACATAATTATTTGATCTCCTGAAACCTGCTATCTACATGTCTCAGGCTCTCAAGAACTTTCAAAACTTTTCATAGCCTTAAATGCCCTGCACATAAAGAGTAAATACAGCCCTATTATTCCAAAATGTGACTTTACAGACATATAAAGATGACATGAAAATCACAAATAAGACTGTCCTAAGACATGCTGCTGGCAATAACCCTAGCTGACATTGCAGAATTCCAACTTCAGACACATATAAGGCTTTTTGCTATCAGGATTTACTTTCTTCAGAAAGCTGGTACAAAACTAAGACCCCTTAAGTATTCCTGCCAATGCAACTGCACTAGAACGGCATGTCTGTAGAGATTTACCAGTTTTCCAAGTACTAGCAAGGACTAAGTAAATAGGGACAAGAAGACTCTTTCTTCAGGACTGAGAGTACCATCAAACTCTGAAAGCTGACAACACAATTTGGGTTTTTTTGCAGGGTTTTGTTTGGGTTCAAGTGGAAAAATAGAATCATAGAATCATGATCTTCTAGTTGCTGTGCACTGAAATGAACCTGGAAGACAACGGAAAAGCAGATTAATTTATTCACTGTATTGGTGGAGAAAAGTGTTTTTCCAGTGTTGCCTTTCAAAAGTATCTCACAAGAAACACTAATGTTTCTTGTAACCAGGGGACAGAGGGAGGCAAAAAAAAAAAACCTTTTTGGCAGCTGCTTGTTCAAGGGATATATATGCTTAAAAAAAAAAAAAAGAAAAAGTAGCAGCCTTAAAGGCAATGGGTTTCTTGAGAGCTTCCTGTCACCATTAAGTCGATCCTTGAACACAAAGCCCAGATTTCCTTCTCATTACCGCAACACACTGAACCAGCCCAAAGAAAAAGTTCATTTTTAACTTTCTGCAACTCTCCCTTCACATCAGTACCACATTACAGGAGTTAGTACACTACATAAGATACAGCAGCAACTTGCTTTCCACGACATTACAGAAAACATCAGGCCCAAATATGGGAGCCTAACAAAACAAAAATAAACAAAATAATTTATTGTATATTTATAATCTGTCTCGCAAAATCACTCCCAGCAGTGCCATGGCATTTGTTGCCATTCAGGCTTCTGTCATAACTCAAAAATGGGATTTCATTCAAAATCCTGCCACTCCAATAAACCAACCAAATGTACAGTGACATTACTAAATCACCCTTATTGCATCTCTTTTCTCTCAGCCTCCACTTCCCCAGAGTACCTTACATTGTATGACATAAATCCCAAGAAGGTACAATCACAGACAAATGTAAATCTCAGGTGGGCCCTCAAAAGTCTATTTAGACACATATTCCTTGAAATGACAGTAAATAAGAACATTAGGGACTAATGCTCCTGATATACATTAAAGATACTTTATGATCATGTGTATCTTCCAGTATACATTCTACATGCTACACCTAATTTAAAAAAAAAAAAAAAATCAATACTGGAAACATTTTCAGACATATGACCCTAGAAGTGACAGCAGTTTAGGCAAGGAACAGGCTAACTTTTTTTCACCTTTGAGAAACAGGAATGACCCTACTTTCTTCTTCCTAAAAAGGGATTAGCCGACAGCTAAGGAGGACCTTATCTATTAGGAACCTCCCTGCCTTCATGAGGTAGACACACAAGTGTATTTTTGTCCTTTGCATTTCTCCTTCATTAACTATGCTGCCCTGCGCTGACCTGCCTGAGAGCTCCCCGTTCCCGGCCGCACGGCAAGGATGTGTCAGGCGCTCTGCTCCAGGACCCCAACCCGAGCACTCAGGGGTCCGCGTTATCCACTCCTCGCCTCTGAGGACCTAAAGGCAGGCCCCGCAGAGCAGCCCGCAGCCGTCTGTCCCCCCGCAGCCCAAAAGAAGGGACTGCCGCTCCAGGAAACCTGCGTGGCTGAGGAAGCGATCAGGCCTTCCCCCAGCGAGCCGCCGGGAAGGCCGCCGCCGAGGGGAGTGAGCGGCGGGGGAGGCTGCGGGGCCACCGCGAAGGGCCGGGGCAGGCCAGGCCCCCCCGCGCCCAGGGACAACGCAGCCACCTTTCCGCCTCACCCCCTTCCTGCGTGACCCGCTGCCTCCAAGCAGGAGCCGCCGCAGCACCCACCCAGGCCCTCGACGCGGCACACCCGGCAGGAAGGGGGACACCCCTTTGCCCTAGCGGGCACCCCGTGCGGCCTGCCCGGCGGGGACCGACGGCCGCCCCGCCCCGGGGCGAGCTGCGGGCTAGGCCCCCGTGACAGGGCCGAGCCCAGGGCTACGACCTGGCCCGGCGCCCCAGCCGCCCCCCCCCCCCCGCCAGGCTAGGCCCGGCCAGGCCCACACCCAGGCCCTGCCCCCGCCCGGCCGCGGCCCCCCACCGCCTCGCCCTTCCCCTGGAAGGCCCCCTCCCTCCCCCCACCAGCCCAGCTCCAGCCCAGCCCCCTCCTCGCCCCTGGGCCTCGCTTACCCCCAGAAGCCGCAGGGGCAGCGCGGTGGCAAGCTGGGCGCCTTGCTGCGCTCGCTGCCGGCGTCTCCCATGGTGGGGCCGGGGCGCGGGGCGGCGGCAGCGGCAGGCGGGGGGGCGCGGGGTTCCCAGCCGGGATTCCAGGCCGGTCAGCTGGAGCCGGGAGACACCACTGGGGAGGTGGTGGAGGGGCGGCCGCGGGAGGGGGGCGGCCGCGCCCTACCGGTCGGGCCCGCTGGGGAGCGGAGACACGGCGCGGAGATCCGTGCGGAGGCCCCTCCCGCCCGCCGGCTTCTGTGACGACCCCGCTGTGGCAGCGGGGTGCGCCAGCCCTCCCCCGCCACTCGGCCCCTGACTCAACAATGCGTCCCCCCCGCCGGCGCCTTGCCTCCCCCTGTCCTTGAGCGGTTTGGTTTCGCCAAGGCACCGGATCAGCTGGGAGTGGCATATACCATAGACTATCCCCGGGTGAGAGCTGAGTTAGAGCGGGGACGGTAACTAGGGAAGACGCAAGTTGGGAAAGCGTCCATAGATTTGAGAAGGGAACGGGCTTCTCTGAGGAGGCTCAGCTGGGGCTGAGGGCTTCAGGGCTGCCCGGAGCCGCTAACCTCTTGCGGCTCTACCCGCGCGTTACGCACATGGTGGTACAGCCAGGGAAGACCGGCGCGGCGGGGGTGCCGGTGCTGCCCGCGCAGGCGCGGAGTGCGTGCGACGCGGAAGTTGGTCGGTGCGAGCGGGTCCCGGGGGGTCTGTCCTGCATGGCGGTGCCTGCCCGGGCCGCCGCGGCAACACAGCTCTGCGGAGGCTGTCGGCCGGGGGCTGCCTCAGCGAGAATGGACTGATTGTTGCCAGCCCGGTGTGCCGGGGTTGGGCAGCCTGTGAACACCCGGTGTCTTTCCCTGGCCGGTGGCCTCCTCTGAGGAACCCAGTGCCGGGGTGTGAGGGACGGACGACGGGCACACAGGACACATCGGAGGACGGGACACTCTTCCCCCTGGGCTCCCTTTACTTCCTCTCTACTGCGAGCTGGGAGGGAGGCCGGGAAGGGCCCAGAGGGCTCCATCTGCTCGATCCTGTTTATTCTGTAGATGTTCGTTCTCAGTTTCCCTGAAATAAAACCTGTCAGGTGTCTGACGTACTCGGGAGGGGTTCTTTGCCGTTGGTAAACGACACTCCCTGCCGGAGGACACTAAGCTGAATGATGGCTGAAGCTTTGGCGCTGGTGTTTTGGTCCCAGGGAAAGAGAGGAGGTATGGCAAGCAGAGAAGAAGCGTACAGCGGGCACGGTGCAATGCCTGCGCCCTTTGATGGGTAGGAAAGGTGAAGGGAATTTCCAGGAAATGGACTTGAGGGCTCTACTGGCTTGAGGGGATTGTACTTCTGGTACCAGTTTAGCAAATGGCCGTAAGTTACGATTTTGCACTTGAAGTACCTTGTTTTTTTTCTGTGAAGTGGAAATACTGCTGACCCCCTGCTAAAATTGCCTTTTTGATCCAAGTGAAAAATGCTATGTGGAAAAATGCTGGTGTGGTAATAATAAATGTGCGATTTTGATACATTCTTGACGTGTTCTTCTGTATCTTATACTTTGATTTTGGCTTCACAGAAATCAGGGTTATTTAACATTGGAAATAATAAGTATGCTTAATAAAGTCCAGAGTATATAGTTTCTGTGATCAACTAACTAATTCTGCCAGTGACCCTTCGAATATTAACCTTTTTTAAGAATTTTATATCAAATTAATTCTTGATAGAGAAAAAAGTAATGGGATACATATACACACATGCTTGACTTTTTAATAAAAAGCTTGAATTTAGTTGAAATGATGTGAACAGACTTCTTTTGAAGAGACTGGTTTGTGACAGAATTTACTAGGAAGGGTAGTTTTATCTAACTAACTGTTGAGTCTGGGTTTACTTGGCTCTCTACTGATGCATCACATGGGCCATTAATGCTCCAGTACCTCAACAGTCACTGCTCTTCCTCAGCAGCAGCTTTGAAAGCAGTAACGTTATTGGGTGTGAGACAGATACGGTACAATAGAGACAGGATGTGTATTGAGAGTTTTCATTCACACGTTGACTGGTCCAACTGGCAACCCTCTTTAAAGCGCCCTAGATGCTTCCTCAACTATTGTATAAGCATCCCTCTGGATAAACAAATGGATAAACAGCACTTAGGAAGCTTATGCAGAGATATGCACCATATTAGTTGGATAAGATTGTGAATATTCGGACACAGGAAGTCATCATGTGGCTCAGGTATAGCAAAGCGTGTTTCAACCTTGGGAAGTTTCAACCTCTTTCAACTCTCTCCTCCATTCATTGTAAACATGCATGGGGGAGGGAACCTACTTAGTGGTAGGAAAGTACCTTGAAGAACAGTGATGCCAGAAGAGGAATAGTGAGCAACTACATGACAAGAGAAACAGACAACGTAATTTTAGTTCTACACACCTGAATGAATAAAAATGATGGGGAAGGTGGTAATCCTTCTTAATGAGACTCTAGTAGCCCTTTGGCTCTTTACCAGCTATCCATTTGCAGACAAATCAGAGAGAATGCACTGTAGAGCAACCAAAATACAACCTGCAGACACTGAAATCCTTGAAAAATCTAATGTTTACTGTTTTGCCTGGGAACGTTGCATATAAGGAGAGATCCCAAGCATACATTCTTCTTTAAAATTATAAACAAAAAAGAGGAAGATATTTGCCAGCAGGATGCAGAGTGTAATAGAAGTTATGAAAGAGATGTCTCTAAGGGGAGAAATGCTTAGGACAAATACAAAAAATGTTCTCATGTTGAAGTATGATTTTTACCTCTCACTGAGGTGCTTTTGACTCATTCTCAATGGGGCCCTGTTGCAAGATTAGATGAAGTAACAGACCTCACAGGTCCAGGAGGCAAAACTCTACCAGATTTAGAAGCAACAATTAAATACCATTGTTTCTAAAGCGCTTCCCCCCCCGATATACTAGAAAAGGTTGTACCTGTATATGGTCAGAACATTTGGGGGTTGTTTATTTTAGTATAAACATGATTGCCCAATTGAGATACATGTGCACAACCATAAAGTGGAGCAGGTGGAGAATGTCACAAGTATTGTACATCTTCTTTCTCATCTCGAGATCTAAATTACCATAAAATGGTAAAAGTGACTCATGTGGTGCCAATCTGTTAGAGAGACTCTTGAACTGATTGTAATAATCACCACTTTTTACTCTTCTCCAGTAGGCAGAAGTGAAACCTTTTCGAAGATCATTCTTTTAAACCCTATATTAAGTCTGAAAATAAAATGAGTATGTGGGAAAGGGCAGTTGAGAGGACATGTCTGAGCTATAGTCATAGGTAATGATAAAAAGTGAACAATTATGATGATTCACTAGAGCCCAGGGCATAAGCTACAGACCGTGAAGACATTAACCTGCAGCAAGTCAGCAACACAGATGTGACCCTGGAAAAGGTGACTGAACCATGCCAATGACTGGCTGAATGAGAACCAGGGCTGCCAGGTTTTCAAATGCCTACTCTCCCATGCATAGTTCATCTCATTTTCTGCATTTGAAAAGCTTATCTTGGGTTTTGTAGGCACCTGGCACAGGAGGGTATGATCTAGCTGAATGCCTGAAGATTTGCTTATTCATTTAGCATAATTTAATTTAGGTGTCAGTACAAGCAGTCTGAAGAGACAAGTGCCTGAACGTTAACCTCTGGCTTGGGTCATGAGTGAATCTGACTCTAGTTTGCTTTGCTGTTTGAAGGAAATCTCCAGATGAAAGAAGGCAAGCTCAGTTCATCTTGGCTTTCAACACTGGTTGTGTTGACAAAGAAAAAAAAAAAAAAAAAAAACCTCTTCAAAAAATAATTTAACAAGCTGTGAATTATCAATATACGAGGTCATGTAGATTAGAGAGGTTTTGTAGCTGTGTCTTTTTAAAGCAAAAACCATAAGTTTGAAAATAAAGGGACAACTAAATAGTTACAGCACAGAATTTGGAGTTAGGACTTTGACATTCTTCTGGTTATTTTAAGTCTCTGCCTCAGTTTTGTTTTCTGAAGTGGAAACTAATAATCTCAGGGGCAGTCTGGTAAACACATCTTTATTGGATGGCATATTTAAAAATTAGGAATTGTTATTATTATTACTGTGACTAGGAGAATGCATTCTTTGCAATTAATGACTGGATGGAGGGTCCAAGTTGAAAGAGAAAACTCGGCACAGCCAGTTACAATTTGCATGAATATGACTAACCCAGAGGCAATTATTATTAATAATACTTTCATTTAATTCACACATGTATTACTTACCCTTCTTGCCCCATATATAATGCAGGTCACTTTGAGAAAAGCACAAATGCAAAAAAAAGGAGTGCAATTATACAAACATTCTAGGTTAGTCTAAAAAATGCCAGATAAATATATATATATTTTTAATCAAAACATTAGGCATAATTTAATAAAAGGAGAGAGGATGCCTAGAAAATAAAAGTGGGTGGTGACTCCACACAGATGTGACATTGAGTAATACTGAAATCACTCACAGAAAAATAAACCTGCAGATGTTAAAAGATATGTAGATGTGGCACCTAGTGACATGATTTAGTGGTGGTCTCAGCGGTATTGGCTTTGTGGTTGGACTCAGTGATCTTAAAGGTCTTTTCAAACCTAAATGGTCCTATGTTCTGTATAAGCCAAGACTTCTAGTCTAATAATTACTATAAACCATGAGATTTATGTGAATGTATAATGCGAATCACATTGTGATAGGCATTTCCTGATGCTGGATACCAGACTCGGCAAAGACCATTCTTAGCCTTTGAAAGCTCTTTTTAGCAAATGATCTCCAGCACTTTTTCTTTAAAAAAAAAAAAAAGTCAAGCATTGTTACAGCAATTTTACCAGAAGGAAAGCAGCCTTGGAAAGCAAAACAAGCTGTTCTGGCCACAGAGGAAAGCACCTGCAGGTCTTGTAATACCATTCGCATTGATCAACTCCCAGTATAGCAACCAGTGCAGAGTCTGTGCCCCCTTGAAAAGCTCATTGTGTGCTCCTTTAGGAACCCCAATATCTCCCTTCTCTGCCCCGTGGTCCAGGTTCACTTAACAGTGGTGGCCCAAATCATCTTTGCTGTAACTACTTGATTTATAAATTAAATGGATAAAAATAAATAAATAAAGCTCTATGCATGTCCTTCCA